AAAAGATCCTATGTTTTGATTCTTGGTGATACATATAGTTAGGTAAGAGATTATTTCGGTCTCAAAAAAGGAAACACCATGAGTGTATATCCTTTTGGGGTCATGAATCCTTAATTACCTCATATTAGGTAACTAGTTTTGGTGATATTTTTTTAGTCAAATACGATTTTGGGCTTAATTTAAGAAACCCTTGGATTATGGGTAAAGGGTAAAACACATGTATTTTTGGCAAATAATAATTTTTTTTGTAAGTACTTCAAAACTGAGGTGCTTGGTATGCAAATATTTGGACCTTAACCTTAAGTTTAGTGACCATATTCATTAAAAAAAATATATATATTATGCAACAGAAATAACACTTTCTTTCGTTATCAACGACTTATATAACTTAATAATAATTTTTTTTAAGTTCAAAAATGAGATCATAAGTTCAAGTTACATAACATTTAAATAAAATAGAGTAAAAAAATGAAAAAAAATTATTTTTTATTATACAATTTAACATCAAAATAATAATAATAATAATAATAATAATATTAACACACCCTTACATATCTTTTTACCCACTCGAGCCATATGTTGTTTTTCTCGAATTTGAAGAAGACCGCAACCAAACTCATTGGATTTTTATTTATTTATTATTTATTTATTTATTTATTTATTATGAACAATATACAATTTTGGGAAAAAAGAAATGAAATTTTCAAAGTGTCAGTAAAATTTGAAATCCCGACCAACATACACAAACACTTAAAAGACTTGAGATGAACCATTAGGACCTGAAGAGGAGTTCACAACCAAACTCATTGGCTTTGTTTGTGTAATTTGCCAAAAATTTTATGGTTTGGCAGGAGAGAAATAAAAAATCTTATTTATATCCTAAATTCAACTCCGGCCTTCAGCTTCCGGGGGCAATTTCCTAAAAATTTCCCAATTCCCAAACAAGATATGGCCTAAACTTCGAAAATACTTCTAATTTCTAATTGAGCCTAGGTTTGATGTCTATGGGCCTGAATCTGATCAAAACACTTGGGTAGTTTGGGTCCAGCAGGCATCCCAGACTAACCTGAGAGTACATCTAATAACCCATTCAATCAGTAAAGGTGCCAGTAGAGCTTGAGGGTTGAGGGCATTTAACTAATCAAATTTGGTCCTAAGTGTACAATAACACTCTTATGTGTTAATTAAAATGCCTATAAAAAGTCTTCCAACCCTAAAGGTTGAATCCATTAGCAACTGCCATTTTATACATCGAGTTTAAAATTCAAGTTTTAACATCAGTACTCAAATAATTTTGTTTCTTTTAATGCACAAGACTAATATAAAAGTACATTCTTAAAATCATTTAGAATGTAAATATGGGATACACCCAAAAAAAAAATATTAATCTCAAAAAACATGAAAGTTTAGAAAAAAAAAAATGCTATAACAAGTCTTCCAAAAACAATTGTTCGTTCCCTATTTTTACCTAAGTAGCTAGTTTCACTCCAAAGTCCAAAAGCATGTAGTCATCACTCGTCAGTGTACAAATTTTTGTTAAATTCTTATTTTCATCCTTTACGGGTTGTTTGTAATTTTACTCTTTTTTTCTTTCTCTTTTCCATCTTTTTTCTGTTCTTCTGTTACTTCGGCTTCTTTCGTCAATCTTTCTTTAGTTTTTGTCCAAACTTTTTAGATTTAGTTCGCTCTTCTTCCATCTTTTGGGTTTTGATTCGGCTAGCTCCTGATTTTGCTCATCTTGTCTTCAGATTAGTGGTGGAAATGGGGAAAGAAGAAAAAAAGAAGGAAAATCTTGTGTTTGTTGATAAACTAGAAGATACATCGGCAGAGATCATGCTAATTAAGCCTCAAGATTAAGTCAAAAGGGTATCCAATAAATTCGAAGGTATTTAATAATGAGAAATAGTAATAACTCATTCAAATACTGTTCTGTGACATATTCATCACCTTTTTCTCTTTAGCTTTCTCTTTTTTTTTTTTTTAATTCTCAGCTATAGAATAAGAGATTATCCTCTTTCACCTCTTTAATCTCTTAATTTATTATACTCACATGTGATATAATTCAATTTTTAATATTTTTTATTTTTATGATAAAAAAATTATTATTAAATAACTTAAGTAGTTAACATTAAGAAAAAAGGTTGAAACTAACTCTATTTTTTATATATAAAGTTGAGATAGACATGGAACATTTGCTAAAATAGGCTAGCAATTGCACGATTCAAATATAAAGTAGAGAAACTAGAACAAAGAACGCTTGAAAATTCATTCCATTAATGAAAAAAGAAAAAGAAAAGAAAAGAAAATAAGTTCTCCTATACCAATCCCCACCATTTCAAAAAAGGAAAAAAAAAGGGAAAAAAAAAAAAGAGAGATCCCTGTAAGATAAAAATGAAAATCATATCAACATTCCACCTTAGCCTTTTGCCCTATTGGATCCTCGCTGCTGTCACCGCCAACCCCAACCACATTCCCTCCTCCCCCACCGCAACTAAGTATACTGATATCCGGCAATTTTCTCTTCGGCTTTGCTTCTTGCAGCATCAACACCACATCCCTCATCGACGGCCTGTCCGCCGGGTTCCGACTGGTACACAACAGTGCAATTCTCAGCATCTGCATCATCTCTTCCCTCACCGACGCACACGACGCTCCGGCATTCTTGTCCAGAACCTCAAGTATCCCGTCTTTCCTCTTAATCTTCGACCTCACCCAATCCACGATGCTATTCCCCTCCCCGAACTCCGAATCCACCGACCTCTTCCCGCTGATTATCTCCATTAACACCACGCCGTAGCTGTATATATCGCTCTTTTCATCAACTTGTAGTGTATAAGCGTATTCTGCAAACAAACAAACAAACAAACACGGCCTTAATAATCCAGTGCATCCAGGAGCAACATAACGGCATGTAAAAAGTCAAACATGTGATGGTGCCATCTGAGGGCCCACAAGAATTAAAGCAGAGTCAAAACTCGACAAAATTCCCTCCGGGACCCACTTTATACCCCAGATCTTAGTTTTCTTTGAAAAAAACGAAAAATTCATTTTGAAATTTAGAATTAAAAAAGAAAAAAAAACATCGTACAATATAAATTTTTACATGATAAATAAGTATTTTAACATTAAAAATTTTTTATCTCAAACTTTTTATTTTATAATATAATATAATTTAAATTATAAAATTATAAATTTTTAAAAAATATATAAAATTAAAAAAAAATGACTGTCGAAAAAGTTTATGATCTAATAATTATTTTATTTTTTAAAAAAATTTCTCATATTAAAACTTAAAGACACAAAATTTAAATTTTACCCCTAACGTTCAAAAAACAGAAAGAGGTGGCTGTAACGCGCAATGGTGACTAGTGCGCCATGCAGAACTGACAAAGTTTTAGGTTCTGCGTGACGCACCACACCGAATCCTCCGTCTGTTAGCATTAATCTCGAATTAATTAATTTTCCAGATAAGAACAAATTGATCCAACAAACAAACAAGATTTAGATGCAGGAGATAACGAGATTGCCATCACGCGCGTGGCTAGCATGCGCCATGATCGCACGTATGATAGCAAGATAGAACGTGAAACGAAATTACCTGGTGCAATGTAACCGTATGATCCGGCAATCACCGACATGGACTCGTGGCTCTGAATTAGCTTTGCCACCCCGAAATCCGCCACCCTGGCCTCCATCTGGCCGTCCAAGAGAATGTTACTCGGCTTGAGATCGCGGTGGACGATCACCGGATCACAGTCGTGGTGGAGGTAGCAGATCCCCTGCGCCACCCCGAGTGCGATCTTGTATCGGGTCACCCAATCCGCCGCCAGGTTCTCGCCTTTGTTTTTACCGTGTAACAGATCGTCGAGGTTTCCGTTGGGCATGTATTCGTAGAGCAGCATGGTGCAGTCACTGTTGCTGCAGCAACCTAACAGTCTCACGATGTTACGGTGGCGCACGTTTCCGAGCACGTCCACCTCGGCTAGGACTCCTCTCCGCCGTCTGATGTTCTCCTTGTGCTTGCCCCACAGTTTCTTCACGGCTATGATCTCGCCACCTGTCATTTCAGCTTTGTATACGGTTCCTGTGGACCCCATCCCTATGATCTTATCCGTCGTTGACAAACACTCTAGTACATTCTCCGCCGTGAAATTCAACCGCTGGAACGCCGTCAATTTCCACGGCCCGATTTCCCTGTCGACGTTGAATCTGCGGTTGTAGTTGGCGTGGAAACACCTTGTTCCCGCCACAAGAGCAAACAGGCCAATGCCAAATGCCGCCGCCATGATCCAGATGATAGCGCCAGCAGTTTTTTTAGGCTGCTGCTTTCGCATCTCCTCGTTGCCAGCGGCCTGCGTGTCTGCCGGACATGGTTTGGCTAGAAGTCCACCACAGAGTCCGTCGTTTCCTGAAAATGAGGACGGATGCAAGTTTGGAAAAATGCTACCGTCTGCCGGTATCGGTCCGGTGAGGAAATTGTAGGACACGTTGAAGCTTTCAAGCGTCGTACAGTTCTGGAAGTCAGACGGAATGGTGCCGGTCAACATATTATGGGAAAGATCTACGTCAGAAATAGAAGGAAGCGTAGAGATTTCCATCGGGATTGTTCCGATAAGCGAATTCCGGCTTAGATTCAAACAGAGGAGCTTTTCGCAGTGGTTGATGTCTCCCGGGATGCTGCCGTTGAGCTTGTTATCCTGCAATTCAATTCTGTAAACGGTCCGGCAATCGACAAAATCTGGAATTTTCCCCATGAGTTTGTTTGAACCAGCAGAAAAAATTTGCAGGCTTGGCGCGCTCCATATATTTTCCGGCAATGGACCTTCGACTGAATTCTCGGAAATGTTAAGGTATTGCAGCCTCGGTGCATTGCCCAGATCCAAAGGAATCTCGCCACTGAAATTGTTCCTGCTCAAGTCAACGAAGGTAAGGTTCGGCAGTCTCTCGAACCCAGTCGGAATGGTTCCGTTGAGGAGATTGTTCTGTATTCTAAACCTTGAAAGGGACGTGCAGTTCACAAGACTCCTCGGAAGCTCATTCGTGAACAAATTGTTGAAGAGGATCAGCTTGAACAGCATGTTTCCGGCACAGATATTTGGAGGGATTGGACCAGTGAGCGAGTTTGACGAGACATCGACGGTGAGCAACTTCCCATTTGAACCCAGCTTCTGGGGAAGAATGCCGGTCAGGTTGTTGCTCCAGAGAACCAAAGTGCTGAGGTTTGGAAGCTCACCTATACCCTCCGGTATTGTACCAGTAAGATTGTTCCCAATCAAGCTTAACCAGGTTAGCTCAGATAAAGAAGAAATTCCTTCTGGAATTTGGCCGGACAGCTGATTATCTGACAAATCAAGTATCCTTAGAGCTTTAAGGTTTCTGTAGCTCACCGGAATGTCGCCTGTGAACCTATTCTTGAAGAGGTACAAGCTCTCAAGATTGGTTAAATTTCCCAGTTCTTGAGGCAGAGGGCCTGAGAGATTGCAGGTGGAGATGTCTAAGTACTTAAGATTTGATAAGGCTGAGAATTCAACCGGAACTCTGCCGAAGAACCCATTGTAGCCAATCTCCATTCGCTCTAGCTGGCCCAAGAATCCCAACTGATACGGTAAAATACCTTCCAGAGAATTTCCGGCCAAATTGATGAACTTCAACCTGGGGATGCTTCCATACCGTGCTGGAATTTCACCTTCAAAGTAACTTCCTCCAAGATTAAGCTGCTCCAAGAACGGTAAATACACAAATTCCGGAGGCAATTCCCCTGTGAAGCTGTTACTGTAGGCATTGAAGATTTTCAAAAACTTAAGCTTGGAAATCCCCACTGGGAAAGTCGAATTAAAGTTGTTGTGGCTGATGTCGAGAACCTGAAGCTGAGGCAATTCAAAAATGGCCGACGGAAAAGACCCATCAAAGGAATTCCCACTCAAATTCAATTGAACCAAACCGGACAAATACCTAATTTCACTTGGAATAGTACCAGAGAGATTCCGGTGAGATAGATCAAGCGTGATGATCACAGCCGTTCTGGGATTACACTGGACACCAGACCAAGAACACCAAACTGGGTTTTCCAAACCGGGTTTTGAGAAGCTTGGAGTAGGGTCCCAATCCTTGAACGACTTCAGAGGATCAATGAGAGAGGATTTTAAAGAAAGAAGAGCAGTAAGAGGGAGAGGATGAGCTGTAGCTTCGGCGGAGAAGACAACTGCAGATTTGCCAAGAAAGTAGAAGGCAAACGAAAGAAAAATAAGAAGAAAGGAAGGTTTCATGGTTATGGAGAAGTGGGGAATTTGTGTGGGAAGAGGTTGATGTTTACAGAGGTAAATTTAAGGGAAGAAAGGTTTTGATTGAAGAAGACGATGCTTTTTGGGAGTGCAGGGTGCAGAGGTGGTTTCATCATCATGATCATTGATTATTATTATTTTTTTCTTTCAATTTTCTTGGTGGGTAATGGGTAGTATATGAGAAAAGAAAATGAGGGAAAGTGAGAGAAAATTCTGCTGGGGGGTGGCTTTGGGACTGTATGTGTATATACTTTAGGATTTTCTCGGGAATTCTTTTTCTTTTTCTTTTCTTTTTTTTTTTTTTTTTGGTTTTCACTTTTCATCATTCCCCTGTTTCCTTTATCTTTGCCTTACACCAACAAAACATTTTATAATTTCTGCAAAACAGTCCTGAATGTCCCTCGCAGGATCCGAGAAAGTAATTCCAATTTCCCACTTACATTCTCTGACTGGGGTTTTTAAATTGAGAAATTATTGTACTATTTAAATTATATAAAATTATGTAATATTAGTTATTAAATTAAATTTATTAATGTTAACATTTAACTATTTGATTAATTGGTATTTTGTCAGTTTGAGATGTTTTTTTTTATGGGTAGGTTTCAAATCCATTCTTTGATAAATTATTTAAAATAAATAAATAAATAAATTTATTAATATTAAATTTTTTTTCTATTTGATAGTACATGTTTGGTTATTTTAGTGCTCCTTTTAAATATAATTTTAGGAATTTTTTCAAATTTTTTTTAAATTCCCTGTTTGGGATTTCAGGTGGTGGGCATGTGTGGACCACTGTGTGGAATTAATGGGTATATAGCATGCGTCTGGATAAATTTGAATAAACAAACAATCCTCTGATCTTTTCCAAATGATTGATAATGAATACTCAAATACAGGTAGTAGTATTTTTGGGACTGTTTCTCCATTTCTCCACTTATAGGTGATGATGACCATCTAATCTGCTGCAGATATTCAACTTTGTATTTATTTATATATTGTCCTTCCAAGTACCCAATTTCAAAATTCTTAAAGGTTTAGATTCTAGTGACTTAAAATCTTAAGATTCTAGTGATTGAGGAGTGGGGTTCAAATACCTTGCTTTATATGGACTATGTATTGTTAATTTTGTTTTTTTGTTTTTTTGTTTTTTTTTTCTTTTGTTTTTACTACCAAATAATGTCTCAAATGATTAAAACTTAATATTTAAAGGAAATTTTTTATTATGTGCCCCTAGTGTACAGAATAAGATTATAATAAATACATTATTTTATATTTAATGTATGTAAAAATGATAAAAATTAATTTAAATTTAATTAATTAACTAATTAAAATTATTTACATAACAATAACACTAAAATAAAAATTAACTTTGATTATTTTTTGGACAAATTAGTTGTAAAAATATATATTTATTGCACATTAACATGTGCCTTTAGGACACAGATTAAACAAACTCATATTTAAATTACATGTTTTTAGTTTAAATTTTTGGGACTAGTGAGAGGGATAATGAAAAAAGAAAAATTAATTTTTATTATATAACCTAAGCATTTAATATACAAAAATAAAAATAAAAAAATTGTTGGATTTTTTTGGTGGATACTATTAGTTAGTGAATACCCATAATAGTTGCTTGGTAATTAAAAAACTCATCTGAAATAATTTGGTGTCACTATTGAATCATACTGGAACAACTTGAAAGTGTAATTGTGTCTTACCTTCGAAGGAAAAAGAAATACCAAACTTCATTGAAATCCAAGCAATTCAAATCCCAGGATATCGAAATCCATGAAAAATAGAAGTTGTCCTTTTCTTGGCATTCATTCTTTGCTGCTCCCTCTTCCTAGAAAACTGAAAAAAAGAAAAAAGAAAGAGTTTGTTTGAAATCCCAAAATGCAGAATTCCAAAATACTACCCCTAAATTTAGAAACAATGTGAATGTGAGGTATATGAGAAAAAAAAAATTTTAAAAATCCAATTCTCTACTCAAACTCAAACCATATTCAGATTATGCAGAATAAAAATTGTGATTTCATTTTTCCTGCTGAGTTTGACTTTGCTAAAGCTAATTAAGCTCTATCCATGATGGGCTGTCTCTAACTTTGTATCATTAATGCAGCTGGTAAGATGAAAAGCTTAGGAACACAATCATCGATCCCTCCCCACGTTTTATTTATTCAGTTAATTCTGGATTTTTGCATAACTCCATCCAACATCTTTTTCTCCACAAATCGATGCTGAATAAAATATAATTTTAATATAATCTTTGTGAACGTAACTTAAAATTCACTAATACATGATTAGGATTAGAGGTATAGCTATTATATTCGGAATTATTATACCTATGATTTCAAATCAACACCCCAAAAAAAAAAAGTTATGATTTGAAATTAGGTATATGTATGTCCTAAAACAAGAATTCCCTCTATTCTAAAATAATTTT